GTATCAAATAGTGCATCTATTCATATACACTATACTAGACAAGCGCGGTAAATTTCTCTAATAGACCTGTACCTGAATTTGTAAATTATTTAAGAACTGTCTTTGTTGATATGAAGATGTCTGAGTTGATGATTCATCACCTTAACTCTATTATATCTGTGGACAGTTTTAAGTCACACTAAGAATAACTGAATGCGGGGCTTTATAATATGATGGATCTGATGTATTTGTATCTGCCTGTGTTTATCAGATTTATGTTTATGTTTATTATTTTTAGGTTGCTGAGTGTTGGATTATTGTGATTGTGAATTATATTGAACAGTTTCAGTGCACAATCTTAAATATATTTTTCGACTGAATCGACTCTCAGATCTCTGTGGATAGCCACTCCTCTTACGTACCATAGGGCATTAACCAGTTCTCTATATAGGCGATATTTTACCCTCTTTGAAGAATTTTTAATGTTGAGTTTGGCGCTTGGCAAAACCCAATACTGCCATAAAGTAGTCCTGATTTAATAATCTGCTTGAATATGTTAACTCTATTCTTTATGTTGAGCTTTTTGCTGCTGATTAGCGGGTAGAAGGAGTACAATATTCGGGCAGCTTGAGCTCGTTTGGACTTGAAATGTTCTATCCATTTACATAGTTAATTTAGCTATCAAGACTTACTATGGCTTGTTGTTCTTGTACCCTAATCTGAAATTTCTTTAACTTTTAAAAAGCATCTTATATTCACATTCTTGTCGATTGGTGATATTTAGTGGATTGGAAGTGCGGCATATTTGAAGGGTGGATTTAATGTTCAAGCCTCATGTGACTTTTAAAGTAGTTTTCAAAAATCCCCTTTTTAAATGAGTCTCTGTATAACTTATGTTCTTTGTTACAGTATATATTGCAATAAAATCTCTCTCGAATTAATACTTATACCAGCTAACTTTTGTTCGTTCATAAAAGAAAAATAAAAATAAAAGAAACTAGAAATAAAATATATTTATCTATTTTGGATATATATTTATATGAGAAAGTAAAAAGAGTTTTGCATATATGTTCCTATAAAAACTTCACCTTACCTGTAGTACTTGAAATCCATTTGTCAATACTCATTACTCAATGCGTGGCTTTGTTAAATCCAAAGATTTCGTTAAATAAATTTAACTTTAAGCTGGTGCTTGCCTTTTGTACAAAACCTGACCTAATTATGTACAAACCACTTAATGACATAAGAAATACTATTATACATTCCGACTGTGCTCAACTCAAGTCAGTTGAAAGGTTCAAATATTTCATAAAAATTTTTTTATGGTGGTTGTGTGCGATTGTATCTCAAAATAATAGAAATTAACTTAACACTTAAAGCCTTTGACACTTTCAACGTCACCTTTCGTGTTGCAGGCTTTGCGTGTGCAAAGCATTCAACACTTTAAGTATCAAATATCAAATAGCAAATCCAATAAAACCCAAAATAGATACTGACGTGCTATGCACCGAAAAAAAAATGTCAACTTGGCATTAAAAACAGCAACAAATATCGTTAGAAACGCCCACGCCAGTTCTGCCACTTCTGCCACTTAATATTGTCAATCAATTTGTTGTTATAATTGAAATTTGATTCCTGCCGATAACGCGAAGCATTTCATTTTGAGACAGAAGAAAAATACAATTCGAATCAATTTAATCGAGTTGAGAATCAATGAGATATTATCGCTGAAAAAAGTGGCATTGTCACAATTTGAAGGAATACATTTTTTTATATTAAAACTATGACGATAATATTGGGTATGGGAATAGTATTAGGTCTGCTGAATTAGCTTTGTAAATACATTTTCTTCGATATTCAAATATAATCCAGAGTTTTGATTATTATCAAGGGTAACAATCGGTTTTTCTAGTAAACTGGTGAACTATCATTTCGTCTATCGTTTTTAAACTCTTCCTTGATGTGACCTTCCTGATGGTATGTCATCTCTGAAAGTCTTTATTAAACGATTGCCAAAGGTATATGGCATATACTTATTTTAAGCTCATCTCCTGGATGCTATAATATAATATAAGATCTAATGTCATTATTACTTATTTGATCTAATCCAGTGATTCCTGCTAATGGCTAAAGAGTATCTATTTCTATAGTACATAGTAATCGTTTTGTTTTCGATAACGTCTGTTTTAATTCTAATGTCGTATATCGTTATCACTTAAACAATTTAGTCTAGTTATTCTTTTTGTTGGTCTGAGTGTATGTATTTCTATAAATTATTACAGTCATTTTATTTTCATATTATCTGCTTGAGATTTTGATCCATATATGAATATTGATCTTGCCAATATCTTATTTGCACATATACTATTCCCAATTATTATTAAATGTCATAAAGCACTACGAACTGAATAGTTCTATTGTGTATATCCGTAACTCTTAACCCAGTTTATTTAAGTTTTTTATAATGAACAAAGAAACAGTTTGGGTTTATTGTTGTAAAATTTATATGAAGACATGGCAATATCAGCTATGTGGTAAAGCCATTACCACGCAAGAATTGTGCATTAACTAAGAAGCATTTCTGTTTTTTAAGAACAGCAGTTCTCTCAGTATCAGAGAGCTTTACTTTTTTAAGTGATACTGTTGGTTTCAGTGACCTTTAAAGTAATCAGTTGAAGTTCTTTACTTGTTATTCGCTTTGTTGGAATATAAAATCGTTTTGCTTGACATTGATATACGCTCTTAAACCAGTTATCTGCAAATTTTTGCTCCTTTTATTTCCTGATAACCTCGTTTCTTCCATTTTCTAATGACCTCATTTATGTGGCTTTTTGTGAGTCCATAGAAAGACTCAGGTTTAATTATATGCATATTCACTGCTCTCTTTGCTAGGTAATCAACCTTTACATTGGTTTCAAATAAATCATGTTCTGGTACCTAATTTAACATTACTGTTTTAAAGTTCCCTATAGTTTCGAGAAGGTTTAATCAATCATTTAGTCGTTTCAAGGTAATTCTTATAATCTGGAGTGGTATTTGCAAAGTTAATACATTTCTTTTTCTAAGCGATATCACGAAAATTTCTCTATATACACGCGTCCTTTATAAGCCCTCTCTCTCACATCTGCTAATGCGTTCGGTCGACACAATACTACTATGTCCTAATATTTGAATTACATTAGATGTTTTTTTTCTTTTTATTTATTTTTCTCTTTTATTATTTTTAACTTATATCTAATTAGTTCTTCTTATGTTACTATCGATTTAATTTTATTAGTTAATTTTATAAGCTTTTAACTATAGTATACTTATATATATAAATAGTATACTATATACTATACTGTATAGTTATTAGTTCATTTTATAGGTTTTTAACTATAGTATACTTAGACTCTAGCTATTTTAAAGCCGTCTAAGTGCTTCAGGCAGCGTAAAGTTAAGATAACTCTACTC